ACACACGTGTGATTCAAGGATTCTCTACGGAACGGGCGGTTGAGGGGAGGATGGAAGGCTTATGAAGGTCGTTGGTGAGATGGGAAGGGACAAAGTTCTTGTGCTCGCTCGCTACTCCTTCTTCTTCTTCCTCTTCTTCGGGGAGTAATTCGAGGTCCGAGTTAGTCGAGGGGAGCAGGACCTCCTGTCTGCGTTCGATGATCCCTCTTCGTTTCTCGCCCCGATCGATCTCGGCCTTGGCGTGATTATAGATGAAGAGGCCGACGAAGGTGAGCAGCATTCCGAAGGCTTGGACGGCAGAGACGGGCTGGCCGAACCAGAGGATGGCGATGCAGATCACCGCGACCCGTTTGATGAGCGAGGCGATCGAGTAGGTCACCGGCGAGGTGCGCGAGAGGAGCGAGAAGGCGAGGATGCATTGTGCAAAATGGACGGTGCCGTTGAAGATGAAGTAGCTCGTGAGGCCCATCCTAGCTCGCTCGTCTACCTTGCCCTCTCCGATCGAATCACGAGTCCATAGGGCACCCAGGTCGGTGTAGATCCAGATCGGGATCATCATCAGGAAGGCGATCGCAGAGGAATAGAACAACAGATTCAATTTATCCATCTGAGCCGCTCCGGAGGAGGAGATCGATGATTGTCGTTTGTGTCCCTTCTCCCCACCAACACTACCATTATTATTATTTTCTTTTGGCAATAGCTTCTTCCCAAAGATGTTCTGAGAGACAAAGATGATGGTGGATCCTAGGGCACATAGAAAGCCGACCCCGTTGGCTCGCATGTCAAATGAACATGCTAACATGACCCCTAAGGTCAATGGTAAGAGTGAGAGATAGGTGTTGAATCCATATCGTACTCCGAATAATCCAGTATAAGCGATCACTGTGAATAATGGTGAGAGTGCCTGTATTTGAAGATGGAGTATAAAAATAAAACCAAGAAACTCAATGATGGAAATCATATGTGAGAAAATGAGAGAGAGAGAGACTGACCTTGATAGTATGGACCGTACTAACGGGGACTCTGGAGATAGCCATGGAGCTGAAGACGTGGCCAGCGATGGAGAACAAGCTCATGATGCAAGTGCCTCTGATAGTAGTCCGGTTAGGGATCCTGATACCGAGTGTTTGGATGAGGAGGGTTGTGCCATGATGGTGGCGATGATTACTGCTGCTAAGGGCGAGTGTGGAGGGATGGAGGGAATGGTGGCGGAGGGCGAGACAGAGGCCGGACCAGAGGGCGACGAATGCGAACTGGACGATGGTGAGAGTGACTGGGAATCTGAATCTGGTGAGGATGACCTTTCCGGAGTTGGAGGAGAGTGCCGATGAGCTGTACCAGAGTGCGCAGAGGGTGACAAACCAGAGGGTGGAGGCCTGGTGGTCCTGTGCTCCAGGATTGCTGAGATGGTTTTTGAATGCATTCTGGATCACTCGTGGTAGAGGGGGCTGATGATGGTGTGGTGATGGTGAGAGTGATAGATGTGA